GTTTATATTAATTGCGGTTAATTAAACTCGTGTACTTGTTTAAATAAATACAAGCTGTACATCGTTAAGGTATGAGAAATGTTTTAAAATGATAATTGTAGTCATTATCGTATTAATTAATATGTTAATTAGTATATTAATTGTTTTATATTAATTTAGGTTAGTCTAACCCTAACTTACTTAAATGTTTTTATTTTAGCATTTGAAATATATTTAAGAAAAATAAAAGTGGTTAGTTCTTTAAAAACCAGGTTAATAATATTAATATTACATTATGTATTTAACAGATGTTTTTCGGGGTAGTAGGTGAACTTTTGACCGATATTCTACAAAATGCAATATACCTTTTTAAATATGCCAATAACCTCTATATTCCTTCTAGGCCAGTTATTTTTATTTTTTATTTTTTTTTGCTGAGTTGTTAAAAAATTACAAATCTCTATGCTGTTGACGCGTAAGAAAATGTTTTTTAAAAAATGACCAGATAATTGTAGTAATTAATGTAATAATTAATATGCGAATTAATTATATTGTTTTATATTGATTAAGGTTAGTTAAAACCGACATACTTCAGTAAGATTTTTATTTTTTTTATTTTAGCCTTTGAAATATATTTAACAAAAAATATAAGAGGTGACCTCTTTTAAAACAAACTGACGGCTAACACTAGATAATGTACTTAACAGATGTTCTAACCTATGGCTTTTGATTTTAAACTAGATAAAACATAATATCTTGCAGTAAAACATTCCATCCACATATATGTGTGTTACATACAGATGTGATCATGTGATCTGTTTAAAAAAAGGAGTGGCTTATTTAAAAGCTGATGACAAAGCACCATTCCTTTGTTCAATGCCAATCTTTCAGTCTTTCGCGTGGTGTGTGACCTTTGGACCGATATACTAAAACTTAATCTGGAACTATTTAAAATATGTCTATGAACTTTTGTAAATTTTTCCATTGACCTGAATTCATCTAAAATGCAAATGACTTGCGAAATACACAATTGTCATTGGTTTCTTAGGTCTTGCATGAAATGGAAATTCACCGAACATGCAAATAATTTGTGACATACACTCTCTCATTGGTTCTGTTAGATGAACTTTATGCCGTCTGAACCGTATATGTAAATGACTTTGTTTCTGTGGTATATAACCACGATTCTATAAGACCTTCTTACCATTTTTCAAACTTGTGTATCAAAGGAATCCCTTCTATCCTTATAGATTTTTCATTCATTAGTTGTTGTTTTTTTCAATAAGTGATGTACATATGATTTATTTTAATTTGTTGAAATCATTTACCGATTATTTGTAGATATTTTTTTTTAATTTGATGGAAAGTTTGCTTCTGTAGTCAAATGTTTGAAATTTGAACAATATTTCATCTGCTGATAGTTTTATATTTAATGAAAGGTTTTAATAAAATGTGGTGGTATGATGAATCTGTTCCAATATTTGAATTATGAAAATAGTATGACCAAGTTTCCATGACCGAAATATGTTCTTTATATAAATGGGTTTTATTTTCGTTACACAGTATTTTAGATTCGATTTATATATTATAGCGGTGGTCACTGTTATCTTGTATGGAGTTATGACATGTTTTAGCACCATGTAATTTAATATCTTTGAGAACTAAAGAAAATGTCTTCTGTAAAGGCAATTTGGTGACTATGTTTAATTAACACCAGTCTTTTAGTTGTGACATATGTTTTAATCATCAAAATAAAAGTCAAGCACCTTGGTGTCATTTGATATTCTTGAGAACCAAAGAATATGTCTTTGGCGTGGGAAAGTTTGGCATGCGTTATATAACCAGTGTCTTAGCTGTGCCAGATGGTTTAGCTATCAAATTACAAGGCAACCCGACTTTGGTGTCATCTGATATTCTTGAGAATTGAAGAATGCGTCTGTTGCGTGGCAAAGTTTGACAGGCGTTTTTATTGCCAGTGCCTTAGCTGTGCCAGATGTTTAAAATATTTTCAAAGTATTTGCTTTTTTTTGACAAAAGATTTTGGACAAAGAAAATTTGATTTTGCTTAAGTAAATCCATCTTAATAAATGATGACTCCCAACACACACTCGGTTCCCAACATGCACACATACACAGATTCGCCAACCACACTCATAGGCTGCCACACCCACACACAACCCTCCCAACACACACACAGTGCTCAACATGCACACATACTAATTAACATATTAATTAATACGATAATGACTACAATTATCATTTTAAAACATTTCTCATACCTTAACGATGTACAGCTTGTATTTATTTAAACAAGTACACGAGTTTAATTAACCGCAATTAATATAAACAATTAATATACTAATTAACATATTACTTAATACTACTTTTACTTTTAAAACATTTTCTCATCTGTTAACGACATACAGCTTGTAATCTTTTAACAAGTACGTGAGTTTAATTAACCTCGATTAATATAAAACAATTAATATACTAATTCACACATTAATTAATACGTTAATTACTACAATTATCTGGTCATTTTTGTTTTTTTTAAGGCCATTTTCTTACGCGTTAATAGCATACAGCTTGTAGTTTTTTTTAACAACTCGGCAAAACAAACCAACAAAAAAACTGGCATAGAAGGAATATAGGTTATTGGTTTATTTAAAAAGGTTCATGGCATTTTTTAGAATATCGGTCAAGAGTTCACCTACTACCCCGAAAAACATCTGTTAAATACATAATGTAATATTAATATTATTAACCTGGTTTTTAAAGAACTAACCACTTTTATTTTTCTTAAATATATTTCAATTGCTAAAATAAAAACATTTAAGTACGTTAGGGTTAGACTAACCTAAATTAATATAAAACAATTAATATACTAATTAACATATTAATTAATGCGATAATGACTACAATTATCATTTTAAAACATTTCTCATACCTTAACGATGTACAATTTGTATTTTTTAAAACAAGTACACGAGTTTGATTAACCTCAATTAATATAAACAATTAATATACTAATTAATACTACAAATGACAACAATTATTTGATTGGTGACATCTGAGAATATTCAAGTTCCAAAATATTAATCTAGTCCCTATTAGTCAGTATGGACGTTAAAACTCGTTTCATTTCTCTTATTTAAAACCAAATTTTGGTCGTGAAATTCAAAAGATCAAATTGAGAACTACCGCCAGACCAGTAAATAATTTCACCAAATTTAAATAAATAAAAATAAATTTAAAAAAAAAAAAATAATGAAAAAAAAAGAATTAATAAAAAAAAAGAATTAATGAACAAAAAAGAATAAATGAAAAAAAAAGAATTAATGAAAAAAAAATTAATGAAAAGAAATTAATTAATAAAACAAAATAATTAAAAAAATAATTGAATTATGAATAATAATCATTTCCAATATCCTTTCGATACAAGTCGATACTCATAATGTTAACCTCTTGTTTTCAACTTCATAAAACAATTCTACATTTGAACGTGTAATCACCCCCCTTTTATACCTAGATTTTCGAAACTTAAAACCAAAATTTAACTACACCCTGTCACAAATATGTAGATTAAAACTATTGGCTTAGAACAAAATCGACAAAATCACCTGTCAAGCTTAATGGCGGAGGTCATTGTCCCTTAATGCAGGTATAGCTACACTTGGCGTGAACTCAATGTAACCTCTGCACACCTGCCTATAAAGCGAAATATCTTCCCCCCTACCCTCCAATAAACAATTCGTGGACCCCATACCCTCGTTACAAAAGTCAAACACGATCAAAGAATACAACACCTGCATACCTTTTTTATTATTCATAACCTCATTGTTCAGTCAACAATAACCATATTCAAACTATAAATAGAACACCTGTGGAATGCTCTGACGTCAGACCTTAGGAATCTGTGACGTCAGACCTTTGGAATGTCTGGAATTCCAAAATTGCTCCAGACTGCCCTCTCTACTACTGACCTGTTTGTTTTGTAGGAACCCAGTTAACCAAGTCCAATACAAACAGAACACTATTCAGAAAACTTACATAAACTCTACAGATAATATTACATTTGCACGGAGTAAAAACTTCCTTCCTGCTTTATAGCCACCTGGGAGCCACGGTGGCTCAGTGAGTAAGACAGTGGGTGGCTAACCTGATGGTCCCGTTTCCGATACCTGAGTTTACCAAGAAAGTTCATCGGATTTTCCGGTGTGATCCCCCTTTATCAGTGGTGTAGGACGGAGAGGCTGTTAAAGTGCAGCGTATAGTCGTCTCGTGTACACATTGGCGTGCTCTTAAAAGAACCCTTGACGGTTGGAATTTGATATAAAGTAGACTGTAGTGCCGCTGCCCTGGTAAAATTTCGCCCATGCCCGTCTTCATTAGTCAAGTCGGGCGTTAAGCTACCTTCCATTTCATTTATAGCTATCTACAGATTAGTGTATCCTACAAAACCCAAACCCGGTTTCATAAAGCAGCAAGGAACCGAAATGGCAGTTTGTTTTGTTTTTACAATTAACGATCGAGTGACTATTTAAGCGACTCTGAAATCAAAGGTAAAGGTGATAAAGAAAATTTAATCTTTAATCTTGCACATAGACCGCAAACTTCAAACTTTCCAATATATTCATAAAATAATATATAACTTTCATACGCATTATTGTTAATAGAAATATTTCGGTCTAATATTGAAACAATAAATCACGTATATCCATTTTCTGTAGCTATACTCAACACATCTGGAGCGAGCTGTAAACAATTAATCTTAATAGAAACATTAAGAAGTAGAACATCCATACTAACGTTGAACATTCAAAAATGGCGTGATAACGCAATTGAGGTCGGGATAGGGTGACCGGGAATGATCCGCAAAGCTGCCGAAGACAAACGAAAACTCATTTATCGCCATGACCATTGGGTTAACGATGACATCTACCATAAAAACAATTAGTCCATATTTTAGTTTCATAAGGCAAATGATGACTAGTTTTGTGACACATTTTTATTAAACAGACCGTATTATATGGTATATAACTGTCCGTCTGTAAACACTATATGATGCGTTTTCTTTAACAGTATGATATACTTATTTTTATGAATAATGTCTTATATTGGGTTAACAGTCTAGATACAGGCTCCATAAACAGTCTAGATTCTGGAATACACGGGTTACAGACTACGTAATAAACAGTAATCGTATTCCATAGAATTATGACCTTACTGTCGTTGAAAGAAAAGAGGATATGTCCTATTTTGAGTATTTGAACTTTAATTTTGATGTCGCCATATATCCGATCAAACCATTCATTCTGTGCCACAGTAAACCAATTCTTCCAATCACCAACTTCACCTGCAAAAATACAAAATCAATATTTGTTATACCGATATGAAAAGCACCAGTTTCATCTACAGTTTGGTAACTTTACATTTTGGATTCTGCGAGAATACAACCCGAAAAGGCGAAATAATAGAGATGCGTACGCCATTTTGTAGTACAACGTGACAGGCCTGGTTTAATGGTGGGGGGGGGGCTGACTGGGCTGCTGCATCAATATTAAAGGTGGCCCCTGATTGTATTTATTATGTCGTAACTATATTTATTCCAAATAAATGTGACTGTCATGGACTAGAATATGTCCCCTGATGCAACGGCCCCCTTGACATTTTCAGCCAGCGACCCCATGCAAGTTTAATACCATGGTAACCACATATTGTATCTGCCCTAATTTTAAGATTTATAGCCGATAATAAATGGTGGGTAACATTTTCTCTATAAATGGCGGTTTCATAAATATTCCAACGTTTGAAAAATGGAACTGAAATGGGATTTAACGTCCTACTTTTCTGCACCAAACGGGATGATATATTTTTAGGAAAATGTTGCTCAGAAGATGCAGGGACCGCGTTCTCTTCGTTGATTTCTTGCAACACTGGCAGGGAAATGGAACATTCCCGATCAACACCGGGATCGAACCTGTGGCCCCCTGATAAGTGCGCCAGAGCCTTACTCTACTCAGCAAAAAAACAACCAAAGTTTAACGAGTATGAACAGTCTTGTTATTTTGTTTATCAGCCTTGTTGATAGAAATTGTTAAATTGAAGCATCCAGTTAATGACGAAATCTCGTATTATGCAAGAAATACAAAATAGAATAAATAGCCGACACAAACTGCTTGTCTGGACCTGGTGGGCACCCCCTTTAACAGGCGTTTTCGGGGCATTTTGAGTGTTTGCAAGGGATACAAAAAATAATAAATTCAGTAACACAAACCGCTTGTTTGGACCCACTGGACAGATGTTTCAAAATGCAGCAAAGAGACACAGAGAGAAATGGTGTTTAACGACCGCTCTACTCAAACAAGACTATTTGAGAACTAACATACGGCTCAATTCTACTTCAATAACCCGCGTAGAGGTTTCAGGGAGCTGTGGTTATGCGGAGAGAATCCACGAGATCAGACAAGCAACCTTACTCCTTGTCAAATATAATCCCCCTCTCATCCTAGCGCCCGAAGGGCGTGATGGATGAGAAGGATTATATGAATATATAGCCCGAGGGCTCGAGGATTTATATTGCATATTTCTCATTATTCTTTCAAACCATGCACACTCGCTCAAACTTTAAAAGCTAACAAATAGCTCACCGAATCAGTGTGTATAAACACGTGACCATGTGACCACGCTCTATATAAACGTTCACAACACTTTCAGTATTGTCTTTTTAAAGATTTGTTGACAGCCGAATATAGCACAGGGAGAGCTCAAGGGAGGGAAGATAAATCCTCGAGCCCTCGGGCTATATATTCATATAATCCTTCTCATCCATCACGCCCTTCGGGCGCTAGGATGAGAGGGGGATTATATTCCATATATGCCCTTCGGGCATCTCGGATTTATACTGCATAGTTTAAAGGGTTGTCAACAAAGGAAATAACAACTAAAACAAATTAGTAGTTCATTTATTATTTTTTCCGCAGCCAGCATACAAAATAACCAAATTTCGCACATACTGGTGGTAAAACCTGGCAAATATATATCCATATTTCCTGTTTGCAGCCTTCAAAATGTCTGAATGTGAACAACCACCATTAAATGTCGAAGAATTTGATGCCCCTCTAATTGAGTGGGCTTTAAACATAGAAGTATCAATACCAGCTAACTTTAATATTTGTCTTAAACACCTAGCAGAAGTCCCTGGAGCTACAGCCTTCTTCGTATAAAAGGAAAACAAATCCTTGACTGGATTTATGGTATTCTGCTGTTGTACGGATAAACTGTCTCGAAGTAAAACAAGGACAGATCCTGACATCTTAAAAACTTGGAATTTTAACCCTGAATAACGGTGTTAAAGGTCGAGAAGTTTTCGAAACCTTATTTACTCTCAAGGTCATAACAGAGCCTGAATCATATAAAGCATTAAGGCAAAAGTCTGTTAAAATTTGACATCTCTGAGCTGTAGCTAAAGCCAACAAACCAACTGGTTTTATATGTCAATATTCTCAAAGATAAATTTTGCAATGGATACAGCGCACCCAAATAATTTACTAATATTGAAGCATTCCAAGTAAACAGATATTTATGGAGTTCCAGAGAATCAAATAATGTTTTTTACCCTATAATGAAATTGTTTAGACATATCTCCTAAGAAATTTATAAAACTACAGATGGATGAAATGAATTAATTTGTTGTCCACAACACCAAAAATTCCATCTTCTCCAGCTAGGCCAATGCATACTGTTCGTAGTAGATGGCTGCCAAGAATTAAGGATGATATTAGCAGATTGCTTTAATATTCCTCTATTATAGAAGGATTGTCAGGTATCCTGCATCCTGTTAGATATATATTCTTCCCTCGAAGAAAATGTAAAGCACCATTGAGGCTTAAACGTAAAAAGGTTCTTGCGAACAGGTAACCGAACTGGGTCTGCTGTGAGCATTGATAGTAAAATTGGATACCATACAGGAGTTGACCAGCCTAGAATGATTATGGCTGCTTGATCTACTGTTTTGAAATACCTTTGCCAGAACCATTGATATATATATATAGAAAAAGCATTGCATGCTAGAAAAAAGGTCTGGATGTCAAGAAACATTTTTCTAAATGTCTTTTAAGTCTGGAAGCAAACAGATCAACATCATGTATGAAAAAATGATTACAAATCTTTAGCTTAATTCCATTGAACTAGAAAATATTCTAGACAAAATGTCCATCAATACATTAGATTTACCAACAACATGTTTGGCTGACAAAAAGAGTCCTTTTTTCAAAGACCACAGCCAAACTTCTTTAGACAATTCAAAAAGATTACCAATATAACCACCCTGATTATTTATATAAGTAATACAAAAGTATTATCAGACTGGATATAAATGTGTATAAAAAACAAATATGACCACAGACAGAACATTGAATATTACTCAAACTTCTAAATAATTTATATAGTTTCCTTGCTCTTAAAGATTTCAACGGCCATTGCTTTGGAAATTACCCCTGTGGGCACCCCATCCATATGGGAAAGTATCTGATGTTATGAACCATTTATACATGTATACTAGGTGGATGAATATAAAACCCATTATATATATAAACCTTAGATATCCACCATTCTATTTCCAAAAACATTGCCTGAATATGAATGATATCATTATCATAGCTGAAGATACAGTGTGACAGAAATATATTTTTCTGTTTGTCTAAATAATGGATAAAAATAATGCAAGTATAATAGCAGTTCTACTAAAGGAACACTGACCAATAAATGATGGCTCATATGAATTAACAAATTTGAACTAAACAAAATTTCCTCAGCCATTATTATTTATTTTAGAAACTCTCTCATATGTCAACAAGCTTGATAACTTTCTGTATTAATTATGAAGCCTAAAATACTTTCTGTATTAATTATGAAGCCAAAACTAAAAAACAGCCTGTAGCAGATAAAGAATCATCTATAAAATATGTACATATAATGTTCTGTTTCCTGAGCCAAGCAAACAAAGGTTTGGGAATTTTTGTAAAGATACATGTATGTGTAACCGAAGAAAGACCAAAAGGTAAACATGTAAACACATAAACTTGATCTCGCCATTTGAAACGTAGATATATTTGATGATCAAGACAAACAGGAATTGAAAAATAAGTCTCTTTAATATCAATGGATGTTCCGTTTAATAGCCTTAGGGCAATTGCCAGTGTTTCCTGCTTAAAAAGTTTTTTTTTTTTTTTAATAATAATAATAATATAACTGTATGCTAATGATACAGAATCGATGGCTTTCTTACATATCATTTAAATGACTTCCTAATCCATTAAAGACATCTGTTTATGATTAAAAGGCAGGCTATTTGGAATAGCCTTCTGAATATATGAGTTGAAATAAAGTCAATCTTATAACCACTAATGATATTCACTGATCTGAGGGGTAATAGTGGCCCAGTAATATATAAATTTGAAATTTGTCCAGCATAAAATATTTATTACTTTCCAATGTCTAGTGGTAGTTTTGGCGAGGTAATCTGCCTCTCGCCCTGCCCCAGTTGGAGATGACAGCCCCTGCAGGGCCTGCCGGAACAATCCAGCCGGACAAAGTGTCACCAACAGGCCTTGTTGTTAAATATATTGGGTGCTACCTTTACTGCGATATTTCCCAAGAAATAATCTATGCTTCAGAGACAACTCTAAATGGTCCTTACCTAAGGTTATGATAGAATCTACAATAGAGTACTACCTCAGGGTCAATATTTGTATTTAAAAGAGGTATCAAAGGACATAAACCCAGACATAACAGTTTTAGAACCTCCTGAAGATAACAATCCTGGGCCGCTTAGGGCAGGGCATGACAAATATCCTGGTCCAACAAAGGTGGCAACAATCTCTTGCATTTACCGGTAACTGATAGAGGATAGTAGAATGTCAATTACTTTTTCTCGACCCTTTTTATTGGTAGCTTGGTTGACCACAGAATCATTAAAGACATCATCACCCTAAAAGATTTTGGGGATGTCAAACTTAGTTTCTTGTGTTTACTCCATGAATTCATCATACAAACTTTGAGGATCCATGATATCTAAACCTGATCCATTATTAGTTACTTAAAATGTTATTGTATACTTTTTATCTTCATAATGTACTGATACCGCATCTTCAAAACCATGTGATGCAGGTCTATTAGCCGACCTAACAGACTGATAAACATCAATTACCATCAAGACTTTGATTTTAAGATGGATTGTTATATTAAATCAGTGAAGATTGGACGGTCTAGATCAAAAGAGAAAAAGACAATACTGAAAGTGTTGTGATCGTTTATACAGAGCGTGGTCACGTGTTTACACACACTGATTCGGTGAGCTATTTTTTAGCCTTTAAAGTTTGAGCGAGTGTGCATGGTTTGAAAGAATAATGAGAAATATGCAATATAAATCCGAGATGCCCGAAGGGCATATATGGAATATAAGCTGTTAATCGAAACACTACTCAGTGACATACCTTATGATCTAAAGCCCACCGTTAGACCACTCGGTCACCCAACCCCCAAAGCGCAGCAGAAACAAGCAAGCTGTGAAATAATTAGTATCAGTTGCGTCTTCTGGAACCACTGGGACAGACTCTCAAATATGTTTTTAATTAGAATTACCTTTTCTATAAACGGCCGAATCTCCTTCCGGTGATAAATAAAAGTGGCCCTTTCTTTCTTTCATACATTTAAAACTGCATTTTTGGACTACATCAGCTAAAAGCTTATCATCAAAGGGAACTTCTAAAAATTCAGCAATTTTCTTAAATTCTCTATGAGGACACTGCAATTTAAAATTTTATTTCAGGTTCTTCCAAAAGACCATCGGTTATTTTTCACCATTGTCTATATATAGTGGTCAAAAGTTTCAACCAAGAAAGATGCCACCTCAAATAATCATATGCAAAGGACATTTTTTTTATTTTGCACCTGAATCGACCAGGTCTAGTCAATAAAAATAAAGTGGAATGTCATGAATGCGGAGAGATAGGTCCTCCGTCTAAGGCAATTCTAGTAAGATGGGTAAATGCGCCTGAGGTCCAGTCGGATTGAAGTTGAAAGATGTTTGCTCTACAGAAAATGCACTACCCAGAGAGTGTCAACTGCGTGCCCAGTCGTGCGCAAGGGAAAATATCTCCTTTAAGAAAAGGAGTCACGGTGGTTAAGACGCTGGCTCGCTAGCCTGGAGGTCGGGTGTTCGATCCCTGCATTGGCCGAGAAAGTTCATCCAGATTTCCCGACGTGGTTTCCTCTTGTCAGTGGTGCAGAACGGAGGGCCTGACAAGGACAGCTGTCTAGTCCTTCGGATGAGACGAAAAACCGAGGTCCCGTGTATATATTGGAATGTACGTAAAAGATCCCCTGGCAGTTGGAATTCGATATAAGAGTAGGCGATAGTGCCGCTGCCCGGGCAAAATTTCCCTCATAGCACACTGTATGGCGTATGCCCGTCTTCATTAGCCCAGTATAGGAGCAAAGGGTTTGAGCGTTGACAGTAGGTTTGGTGGGAATATGTGAAGTTCGGATATAACTAGCTTCCAGTAACATCGATCCTAAAGTGGAATGGAATTCAAAACCAAAAAATGACAAATCAGTGTAATGTAAACCTGGAACACACCTCAATCATATCTTCATAAGTTAATTCTAATATACGTAAATCCGGATGTGTGGCGATGACCTCTTCCCAGTGTAGAACAAAATCAAACCATGAATTATAATCAACTATATCACAAAATAAAACAAATAATATAAGTTAGTTCATGCTTCAAATTCACAAAAAATAATGAATACAAGTTATTGGTCATTAAATATCTACGGGAACCGAACTTCTATAACGAACCGGAGGTAGTTCATGGTTCGGGGCACTTGACTCTTGAGTGTCCGTGGTTCACATTCCGGTGTGGACCGAGGAGAACCGGGAAGAACATTGGGATGGTTCCAGATTTAAAGGCTTAACGTCAACGGGGCTGCAAGGAGTAGCTGATTGAGCTTAATGAAGACGGCTCCATATCATCAAAGTATTGTATTAATGCCTATCTATAAAACCTAATATTTTCTAATAATTTTAGTCACTTGAGCAGGTTAGCAAGTTGGTGTGAACGTTCCGGACAAGGCTCTCCTTTTTCTACAGAATTGCTTTAACTTTACAGTTTTAGTCATCATTTTCTCCAAATTTACTATGGCAGCCATCTTGGATATGTATATGTAAAAGATTAGAAACCACTTAGGTTCGTAATCTTGGTCTCTAAACCCAAATTTCCAGTATCAAATGATAAATACAATTATATAATTACAACCCGCAAATTATGTAAAAATAAAATAGAAATTGATGTGGCGACATACAGTATATTTTATTGTATTAATGCCTATCAATGTAACCTCACCTACCTCTACCGTCTAGAACCATTTTAAGGTAGTTCTTCCATTCCCCTTTATATTGATAATTATCATAGAATTTTAACGTATGATTATAGAATGATACAGCGATATCCTTCAAATTTCTTCTGAAGTAGATTATCTTGTTGTGGAATTTTGTATAATCTTTTGGCATTTCATCAAATATGAGATGTGAATTGAGAACTCGCGGAGAGAGATGGTTCCTGGTCGATTTCTTCATGTGATGCTAATTCCAGCATCATGGATTGTTTTGGTCGAACCTTTACGTCAACAGTTCCAGCTACCAGCATTCTACACACTTTCCAAAGCCAGTGAGTTCCTATATAAGAAAATAAAATAGAACAATATTTTAACTTGTTCATGAAATGAAATAGAATGGGGTTTAACGTCCGAACTCGGCGAATGAAGACGGGCATACGCCCATACAGTGTGCTATGAGAGAAATTTTGCCCGGACAGCGGCACTACGGCCTACTCTTACATCGAATTCCACCTGTCAAGGAAATGAAATGAAATGGTGTTTAACGTCCTACTGTTCTGCTCCTACACTGGGCTAATGAAGACGGGCATACGCCATACAGTGAGCTATGAGGGAAATTTTGCCCGGGCAGCGGCACTATCGCCTACTCTTATATCGAATTCCAACTGCCAAGGGATCTTTTACGTGCAATCTAATGTATACACGGGACCTCGGTTTTTCGTCTCATTTGAAGGACTAGACAGCTGTCCTTGTCAGGCCCTCCGTTCTGCACCACTGACAAGGGGAAACCACGTCGGAAAATCAGGATGAACTTTCTCGGCCGATGCAGGGATCGAACACCCGACCTCCAGGCTAGCGAGCCAGTGTCTTAACCACCTAGCCACCGTGGCTCCACACCTGTCAAGGGATCTTTTACGTGCACGACAATGTGTACACGGGACCTCGGTTTTTCGTCCCATCCGAACGACTAGACAAATGTCCTTGTCAGTAACTTGTTTATAGTTGAAGTCTAATACTTTATACAATCAGGATGATCTGATGTATTATTTCCTACTGACCTAAAGAAGGCTGGCATACACCATACAGTGGGCTATGAGTGAAATTTTGCCCGGACAGCGGCGCTACGGCCTACTCTTATTTCGAATTCCAACTGTCAAAGATTCTTGTACGTGTACATGGGACCTCGGTTTTTCGTTCCATCCGAATGACTATACTAATAACACAAAAGTCAAAATTCAAAATAAAATTATATTTATCCGTAATCGAAATAGTCGGAGTAGAACAGTAAGACGTTATACCCCATTTCATTTCTCATTTCCTAATCGAAATACCCCCTTGTCAGTACGTGGCCACAAATTGGCAAATTTAATCCAAATCTCAGACATCCAGCCATTTTAAATGCAACAAATCATGTCATCTACTTAGTCTGTCTCGCAGATAAAAAAACGAACTATACGACACAAACTGGGGTGGAGAGAGAGAGAGAGAGAGAGTGAGCGAGAGACCGAGAGAGCGAGAGAGAGAGAGAGCCATTTCAGGGTTGAATGTCCACTGCACACAAACCAGGTCATTTCGGGAAAAACACATGGTTCATGTTTTAATTTCAACAATTCGCTTGAGAGCAGGGGTCTTTAGCAATGGGAGGAAACCAGAGAAAACCCAAGAGGTTGGACAGGTGACCCTACTCCTTGTCAAGTACAACCGGGGAATCAAAACCACGCCAGTTGACTCAATGACAGACCGTATGATACAGTGCGTACGGGCTAACCATTCGTCCCACCCCACCCCCACCCCCACCCCCACCCCCAAAAACTGTAAGAACATGGGGTTTGTGTTTTGAGGAAAGAAAATAACACAAAAATTTATTTACCTGATTTTGGATACGCTATCAAAAAGATGTAATCCTCTCTTACTTTAAAATTGGGTATAGCCTCCACCGAACTGATGCTAAAATTTGGATAAAGTCGTCCTTTAAACTCAATAAAATTGATTGTTTCTCCGGCTTCATCTGGGATCTTTACCAAGGACATTGTACCAGTTTTACACAGCTATCAAACACGCCCCACGCACGAACGAGAGAACTTGACGTCGTGGTATATACAGGGGTACAATAAAACAAGTGTAAATAAGCTACACATCTTACGATCACATCGACACTGGATGTTATACAGCCCAAGACATTAATACAAACTATGCCAGGTCATGTCGTACGCTTCACTAAACATTCTTTCCGTATCTAAAAATATACGACAATTTAAAGATACAGGGTGTAAGATTTAGATGAAGAGCTGATATTGGGGTCAAATTCCCAAACAAGTTTTATTAGGTAGATCATCGTGTAATGCCAGGGAATTAGATGCTATATTTATATAGTAAAATGAGCCATAGGTCAACCAAACATCGAGACTTGTTAGTCTCCCATTTACTTTCTGTTTATCAAGACGAACACACACACACCCTCTCTTCTTATCAAACTGATCGAGCGTTAAAATAAATTCCCGACTGTACATGACAAGGAGTAGGGTCGCCTGTCCATCCGCGTGGGTTTTCTCCGGGTTCCCCGAATTATTGAAAAAAAATTGAACCATATTTAGTCCCGAAATGACCTAATTTATGTTGAGTGGACGTTAACCCATCTATCTCTCTCTCTCTCTCTCTCTCTCTCTCTCTCGCTTAACATAGATTCTCAAAACGGCGATTATATTATTATTCGACTATAATGGCGTCAATAGTCACATGAAATGCCTACTTTACATTTTTCGTTAAACAGAGCAACAAGTGCATGTCGAAGTAACTATAACCTACTGAACACTGTGTGACACCCGCAGCGAGTCCTACTCGATTGCTACATAGAGGGAGTTAATGTGTACTATATTGATAAAACATGAAATGAAATGAAATGAAATGGAGTTTAACGTCCTACTTTTCTGCTCCTAACCTGGGCTAATGAAGACGGGCATACGCCATACAGTGTGCTATGAGGGAAATTTTGCCCTGACAGCGGCACTACGGCCTACTCTTATATCGAATTCCAACTGCGAAGGGATCTTTTACGTGCACGCCAATGTGTACACGGGACCTCGGTTTTTCGTCCCATCCGAACGACTAGACAGCTTTCCTTGTCAGCCCCTCCGTCCTGCATCACTGACAAGGGAGAACCACGCCGGAAAATCTGGATGAACTTTCTCGGCCAATGCAGGGATCGAACACCCGACCTCCAGGCTAGCGAGCTAGCGTCTTACCCACTTAGCCACGTGATCCCCTTGATAAAACAGAGAGAGAGAGAGAGAGAGAGAGGGGGGGTCATTTCGGGGTTTAACTCCAGTCACACAAACCAGGTCATTTCGGGCCTAACATAGGGTTAATTTTTATTTCAATAATTCGCTTGCGAGTATGGGGTCTTTAGCAGTGGGAGAAAACCGGAGGACCCGGAGTAAACCCACGAGGTTGGACAGGCGATCCTACTCCTTGTCACGTACAACCTGGGAATCAACACCAGGCCAGTTAACTCAATGACATACCTTATGATACAGCGCGCACGTGCTAACCATTCGGCCATCCAACCCGCCTTGATAAAACAGAATGATGACTTCATTCCCGTACTATTCGAGTGTACACAAAGTGAAAACAAAAATTATTATTTCATCTAGTTGACAAAATAATGTGCCCGAAATCCAAGCCCGTAACTAGGTTTGCCTCAACCCAGATGGTGTCTCTTGGACCTCAACGTTATCTCTCTCTCAGTGCATGTCTCCTCTCGAAGAATCTAGTGGCTATCTAACAACGAGTGCACATTCTATTTATTATTATACTCTCAGATTCACAGCTATCAAATATTCTAATGGCTAATTATGATGTAATTAATCATGTGATTGGTCATTCGTGACAAATATGGAATGGCAACTTTCCTATCATTAGTGATAAACATGTTATTCTGGTTTCACCCAGAACCAGCTATGTTTATCAAATTATAAATCTTTTTATGCGTCAACCCATCAGTCATTTATATATGACTTCTCCACAATACATGTATGTGAACCCAATAATTAGCTAAGAAAGGCTGATCATATGAGTGTCCAGAGCAGTGGTTCTCAACCTTTTTTCGCCAACGGCACAACTTGGAACGCCTGAAAAATTAGCGGCACACCTCGCTAAATATATATATGAAAAGATATTTGAATTTTGCAAATTAAAAACATGCTAAGCCAGACGGTAGACAACCGGAGACAGAGACTAGTCATAGAGATATAGAATGAGTCAAACTAAATAAAGAAAAACACAGCTATGAACTTATCAATAGGCACCAGTGACTAATCAATTGGGATCATGTTGCTTTTCGCATTTTCTTAGTGTGCTGTTTACAATTTCGGGGCACATTTAAGAAGATCTCGCGGAACACTGGTTGAGAATCGCTGGTCCAGAGAGAAGAGGGGGGGGGGGGGAGATACTCTTCCCTCCTCGCACAGTGCCTGTTTTGTTTCTTCGGCATTCATCGGAATAAAATCGAACAAACGAACGTGCGAAGCATTGTCGCCCCCTTTCCCTCTCTCCCTCTCTCTCTCTCTCTCTCTCCCTCGTGGGGTTCTCCGGATTTCTTCCACTGCCAAAGACCCCTACACGCAAGCGAATTATTGAAATAAAACACGTTAAGCCCCCCTCCCTCTCTCTCTCTCTCTCCCTCTCTCTCTCTCTCTAGTAATCCCCTGGACCTCACGCTACATTTGATTGAAATTGTTACACTATCAATGGGTTCTTTTTATCTGAGAAAGTACAATTTTGATTTGAATAAAGGATGGTTGTCATCTTAGAAAACAAAATTAATCAAAATGTAATTTTTACTTAAAGGCTGGATGCGTCTTTGCATTTTCGCTAAAATATCAAATTTTTTATACACGGATTGATTATCTAACCTGCGATTAGGGTAAAATGTGTTATCAGAAAATCTATGCAGTCGTAATTTGTATTCTTATTCTGTGGTGAAGGGTGGCGGGACTGGCAAGGGACAACGTGTGGTCGTTCGGATGGGACAAAAAACCAAGGTCCCATGTACGCATTGACATACAGGTAAGAGAACCTTATGACGTATGACGTACGACCGTATTCTTATTCTGTGGTGACGGAATGAGGGTTTGGCATGTGACAAGGTATGGTCGTTCGGATGGGACAAAAACCAAGGTCCCATGTACGCATTGGCATGTAGGTAAGCGAACTTTATGACGTATGACGTATGCATTTCTTCATTAGGCCAGATGATGCAGAACAGTAGAATATTAAGCCCCATTTCATTTCATAGCACACTGTATGGCGTATACCCGTCCTCATTAGCCCAGATGATGCAGAACAATAAAATATTAATCCCATTTCATTTCATTTCTTTTATAGATTCAGCTTTCAAAGTTTTGTTTTTTCGCAAATCCTCCAGTGAAGATCAAAGACTTGAAATTAAACGAACCGTATTGACCCCCCCCCCCCCACCCCCTTGAACAATAAACCGAGCACTTATCAATTGAATTATTAATGATGTCATGAGTGTAACGTTTGAATGATCAACTAGAAATCACAACAAGGATTGATTATTTAAATTCTACAAATACTGAACTTGAAAACCACAAGAGAATCGGTGTAGAAACAGAGTTCATCCGATCAAATATATACAGTAATTATTTTTCATAGAACTCGAATCTTGTGTTTATTTCAATGTGTTTTTCTCTTTATGCGATATTTATTGATTATCATCGCATCGCAAGAACCTATAAATGCATAGCCCACAGCAGGTAAGTTATTAGAATTCGAGAATCTCATGATAAGGTAAGTTATTCATTGGAAATGTCTTGATAGAGCTATTAATATCATGCTATACATTTAAACTGATATTGACGAAGTAGAAAGACTCGTGGTCATTTGAAACGTCCATCAGGAATATCTCATTCAACATCTTAGGTAATGATTAACTGTTATCTTCTATTATTACTTCTAAGTATTTGTCTTATTATTTGTCATTATGGTTGATTGTTACTTTTATATTTTATTATTACTACTAAGTACCAAATTATCTATTATTATTTGTCTTAGTATTGTCATTATGGTTGATTGTTACTTTTTAATTATCTTCATGGTCCCCTTTTTTGTAATTAATTAATTGGTGTAAGCCAAAATTTGTATGAATATTTATTATTAACTTGAAAACAAGATCTGTATGTGTTACGAAACATCGTTATTAAATAACAGAGAAGTAGTTATATCCATATATACCTTTTGTCGTGCTTTGTTATGAATATCTCAGTATATTCACCAATAGCAAAGTTTTAAATAAAGTAAATATTTACATGAAAATCATGGAGAACACATTACCATCTCAGAAGTCAGGTTGCGTTTTTTAGAACAATTCCTGGGTTCAATTCTGTGTTTGGGAAGGAACCTTATTGCTCAGGTAAAGTTGGAGATGTGGTCACAAATATACAATAAAAACATTTGGCAAGTTTATACCACCCGATTAGATTTTATTACATACTTCGAGAAGGTATTTGTTGAGTAATAAAACCTTCTAGTAGTTTATCGAGGGCTGGCCGTCCTTACCGCACGGTACAAATAAAACCTTCTAGTAGTTTATCGAGGTTCGGGTGTTTCCGGAGTCCAAAATGGCCGCTTTATATAAATGAGAATTTTGGGGATAACTAACCCGAACCCTAACCCTAACCCTTTTTAAAAGACTGGACTTGGGTCTAATTTAGTTTTTACTTCTCTTAAAAGGGTTAGGGTTAGGGTTCGGGTTAGTATTCCACTTAATACTCATTTGTATAAAGCGGCCATTTTGGTATGAGTTCTGGCTTATTCTGGAATTTGTTGCTTCTAGTGGTGATAATATTTGTACCGTGCGGTAAGGACGGCCAGCCCTCGATAAACCACTAGAAGGTTTTATTACTCAACAAATACCTTCTCGAAGTATGTAATAAAATCTAATCGGGTGTTTATACAATGTGTCTATTGAGAGTAACATAACAACATGACGT